TTTAAACTGTTAAACTGAAAAAAAAGTATTGCATGCGTTAACGCGTTACTTTTGATAGTCCTAATATATACATACATATATCATATGCACGCACACACACACACACACACACACACACATATATATATACACTAAAACTATCCTCTTTACAGTCTCAAACTCTTATTCACAGTCACCAACCATGGTGTTCTTGATCATTCCCTACCACCAAACAAAACAGTGTGTGGGAGTGAGAACGCCTTGAACTGATCACACATGAAGAATTTGACATGCCGCAAAGCCTCCATGAGGCAAGTAGCAATTTTCTTTCATCATAGGGACTGCTGCTTAGGAACAGCTTTCGTCCAAAACCAGTAGCGCTTTGTGTACAACAAAGGGATCAAAACCTTGCAGTGGCAAAGAAAGTGCACAGGAGGATCTATCACCTGCAATCACAATAACATCTGTACATGTAAACTTGCTCCATGCCACCAGAAGAGAGAAAAAGTTTCCATTAATGGCTTCAAGTCAGTTAGGGAAGGTGAGTGGGAGAAGACTCCTGCTGATACAGCTTGAGAAGTGTGCTGTGACTGAGTCAACCTCCCTCTGTGACTAGTGCAGATGGAAAAGAAGGGTGAGAGAGCTCTCAAAGCTTTCAAGATGGACTCTCAGCATCACCTACAGAACCCTGGCCTTGTAACATCTGCTGAGGTGAGACTCGGTGGGGAGGCCAAGTTTTGGAAGTAAAAATCTCTTTAATTTTCTCCAAATTTTAACAGTGAGCTTTCAAAACATGAGACCCGATACGCTATCATTTAACAGTTTGGGGCAAGTACGAACTAAGTAAGTAAGAAATGAATACTTTTATTTAACAAGGATGAATTAAATTGATCAAAAGTGACAGTAAAGACATTTAGAATGTTACAAAACATTTTTAATTTCAAATAAATGGCGTTTGGTGTAACTTTCTATTCATCAAAGAATCCTGAAAAAACTTTTTGACTGTTTCTTGAGCTCTAAATCTGCATATTAGAGTGATTTCTAAAGGATCATGTGACTATAGGGTAATGATGCTGAAAATGCAGCTTTTCCATCACAGGAATAAATTACATTTTTAAAATATATTAAAATAGAGAACAGTTATTTAAAATTGTAATAACATTTCACAATACTGTTTTAACTGCATTTTGATCAAATAAATGCAGCTTTTGGAGAGTATAATAGACTCCTTTCAAAAACAAAAAATCTAAATTTAAAAAATCTTATCAAACCCAAACGTTTAAACAGTAGTGTACTCCTGTAGATGTCAAGAGTCTGTGAGAATGAAAAAAGAAAAAAGAGAGAAAAAAAGTCTGTGAGACTTTTTTCTCAGTCTGTGACAATTCAAAATATATATTTTAAATACTTTGAATAATATTTAAAATTCTCTTTGAAGAAATACACTATCCACAATCTTGAAATGGCAGCGCCTTTTATCCACAAATCAGAGAAGTCGGTGTTGTCAAAGAAATGAGAGCCACACCCATAGTTGCAAATGACAACCAAATCAGTCCAACAGACAAAAATTAAATATTTATATATACCTGACTATTTACACTATTTATTTCTACTTCAAATATATTTAGTATTGCATCATTCACACTGCTTCATGGGAAGTAGTTCTTTGACACATGAAAGATATTAAGATATTAAACAGTCTTGTGCATTTGAGCTTACTTGAGATTTCCAGTAATTTTTTGCTTCAGGGCTGGGCAATTTGGTTGATAGCTTTTTTTTTGTTAAAATACCTATGAAGTGAATGTAAAAATACTTAAAGACCCAAGAATGCTAAAAAATGTGTGGTGTCATTGGTGTCTGTGAGTTTCGTTCCATCATTATTGTGATTTCATTATAGCCACTCTAAAATCCAGAGTTATTATGAATGACCTTACAAGATTAAATGAAACAATCCAGCTGCTTTGTCTCGACCAAACCTGATTCCCATCAGCAGGATGTGGCTCCCTTACTTCCCACCACCAGACATCCTCTGGACTATGCTGAGAGACCCATGCTGAGAGACGGCAGCCTAAAACCTTTTCACTGAGCTTAGAGGTCGAGAAGAGAACCAGGCCCAAGATGATCCTAAGAGGTCCTTCCTACCGTCGTATCTCACTTAGGCCTAAAGTACAACCACAAGAGATTTTCTGTGACAAAAGTCTTCAGAGAACTTTGCTTTACCGCCAGACGGTTCCATGCTGTCCTGGGTCAACGTGACCACGCTAGAAACACACAAAATGACTCATTCTGCTGATCTAGTTGCTAGGAGGAGGTGAAAGGTTTTTGGCGACAAGGAGCTTCATTGAGACGGACTGAACGACACACTCCACGGTCGGTTGCCTTGGTTTCCTGCCCTGTAGAACGCAAAATGACGGGTTCAAACAATATGGACATTGAGAGCCCACTGTAATAATGAGCGAAAAGCCATACTGCTGGAAGAGGACTAATGTTAGGGTGGAAACAATGACATTTTAGTGTGGGAAACTGAGCCGGGTCAAACAGAAAGGGAGGATCTGCGAAACACATCAGGGCACACAGGCTCACGAGCTATTTCCGGATGCGCCAGGCAAAGTAAATGAGAGGTGCTGTGAACTTTACTCAGTGTAGGCCTGGTTGAAAGCATATCTCAGGAACAACTCTAACTCATTCCTTCTTAACCTAACATTTACAAATCAATCACCACTCATGTTGTCTTGGAGCTGAAAAACCAGAGCAGAAATACATATACTTCCCCCTAAGTCCCCAGGGTCGATGCTGTTCCTCAAATCTTCGGTCTGATTTTAAAGCGGTAGCTGTTACTGTAAAACGAGGATCAGAAAAAGGATCAGACAGCACGCTGGAGCTGGGAGGTGAAGCGTTCTGTCGTGCTGTCACTATTTTTGAGGTACGCTGAGAGAGGAGGCATAGACAGGTCATCCCCGTGCATTGAAATCAGATTCACACTTCAAAAAGCAAATCCCGGCACTTTTAAGAACGGTAATCCTTTACTAAAAGACAAGAGTAGAAAAGGAAGGGGGTTTGAAGAGGTGAAAAAAGGAGGAAAGACTTTAAAGAAAAGGAACTGGATGCCAATTATCTTCTTATCTTTCAAGAGGAGAGCTTCTTCGTTACTGTTAGTTTGGAGGTCGTGGGGAGGTTCAATCTGGCAGCTGGTGTTTGAGGCTGGAAAAGGGGGATGGAAGTCTGATTCTACCTGGTTAGCGGAGCGTCTAGAAGGAGTCTGGGAGCTGCTAAAGGCAGTGAAAAAGATGCAGGTTTTAGTCTATTCAACACCCCAAAATAACTTGTATACCAGTTACTTGTATACCAAAATATATTTGAAGAAATTTGCTTTGATCAGCTGGAGTGAGAGTTCCTTGACAGAGAGTAATCCATGCATTGTGAATGATGTGCAATTTTAGACATTTCTTTCAGCATACTTCAGTCAATCCAGAAAAGAAAAGGGGCTAGTTGTTCTTTTGAACCATTTGTTTTTAAAAGTACTGCGTGAAATATCTTACTTGCAAGTTGTGGCAACAGAACTAAAAAGTATTTGCCCTCACTTAGCAGCTCATTACAAATGTTCCCATGATTCAACAAGAGTGGGAACAAGCTTTCTCAACTGGAGCAGGAACTAAATTCAAGTTTATCGTCCAATTTGTTGCACAGTGTCATCAGACTATGATGATTTAATATTTTTACACTAGCCTCTTCTGGTTCGGCCAGCTGATGGGGTGAACAAGACTTCCAGCAAGGTAAGTTAACTTACATCATGCCTTGCAATAATTGGGGTTGTTTACATGAATAAATCTTTGTATTATATTAACAAATAAAGTAAATAAAAAAAGCTTTATAAGGCTTAAAAATTGAAGTACCCTATGGTCTTAAACACAGAATTCCTTAATAAAAAAAAGAAAAAATGTACTCGATAAAAAGTGATAAAAATAGAAAAGTTTGGGATTAGTATGATTTTTTTAACATTATTAAAAAATTGACTTAAAAAATTCTATTCTATTGAATGTTCTAATAATCAAAGAATCCTTTTTTTTATTTTATTGTAATATTATTTAACAATATTGTTGTTTTTATAGTTTTTATCATCAAATAAATGTGGCCTTGTGAAGCATAAGAGACTTAAGACCCTGATCCTTTTAAAGGTAGTTTAACAAAAAAATTATAAGAATTTTAAAAAATATACTGCATTCCCACCATACAAAGCAAATGATAACACTAGCACTCTCGCCAGCTATGTTTTTATATCTTCAGGATATCTATTATATTTATATTTAAAAAATATCAAATGTAATAAAACTAATGTGAGAGTTGCATAGTTTCAAACACAATCATGAATATAAGATTCAAAAGAAAGGGGACAGTAAATTGCCTTTTCGAAGCTTCAGAATATGAGGTCTCCGACAGTGTTCGTATGTCTGATTCATCATCATCTCACCATTCAGTATGAAATTAGTAATTATCATTAACGAAATGGACTGGAGGAAAGGCATCACTCAATGAGAAATTATCTTTCAATGCCAAAGTGTAGAAGTCATGATCTTGCGCTCCGTCTGTCGTATATTCATTACTTCTCTCGCAGGGACGTTTGGAGCCCTGGAGGACTATTAATTGGAGAAGGGGCAGGCTCCCAGCATGCACTACAGGGTGCCAGGTGATGGCAGACAGACAGTCCTGGCACTGAATTGATGACAAGCTTTCTCCTGGTGGAAATGACTGTGAAGGTCAGCCAAAGGAGCAAAGCAAAGACAAAATGTTGGAGGCCGACAAGAAGAAAAATGTAGTCCTCCAAGGGCAAGGGAACTGCCTTTTTTATCATGTCCTTTGTCTGAGGAACAAAAGAGGCTCTTTACCACTTGAAGTGGGTCCCAGTTACTACATAAAGACAGACTTAGTGGTTTCTGGGAGTGAAAAGGTTTGCAAAGCACAGTGTGAGCCAACAGTAACCAAGTAAAAAACAACAACAACAGATTCCCTATTCATTAAATTCTCACCTCTTGCCCATGAGGCTTGCAGGTTTAGCAAGCCCAAGATTGCTCTTGTTTGGCTGCTTCTTGCGGCGGGTCAACTTCTTGCGTCCAGAGCCAACGGCGGGCACGTCCTCGGCTTGCTGGGTGGTGTTGCTCCCGCTGCCCTTGCTGTTGAGGTCCCACAAAACATCATAATTGATCTTACTGGAAATCTTTTTCTGCTCCAGCATCTTCTCAATGGCCTCTCCCGCAGTGCTGGCCAGGATCGGTTCTCGCTTCTTGGACGGCTTCTTTGGCTACACAAATTGAGATAAAAAGTTGTTTACAGTGAAAAACAAACATTGGGGTCAGAGCTTGGTTGGCTCTGCTTCATAGCGTAGAGTCCTTTGACATGCTGTTAATTTATTAAGTGAGGATTTTCATTTGATTGGGGGGGGGGGGGTGGGGGACTGATCATTTAAACAGTGCATTTTCTCTATTGGGGCTTGATATAATGATGTCAGACTAACAGCTGTCAACAAGAAGGTGACAGAATCCCATTAGTAGCCTGGAAAAGCAATCAAGCTCATCTGATCTGGTCATCGCTGACCATGTTCCTCGTCTACCAAAGTGTAACAAGTCACTTCACACTCAGCAAGTGGACGACTGTATCTGAAATTGCTATCAGGCTCAAGGCACCTCATTAGAGGTGCAGAGCAGGGCTGTCTAATCCAAGCTCAACTGGGAGTCACAGTGCAGATGTCAGAGCAGACAGGTTAAGGAGAGGCGGCACTGAAAGCCTGGGGTGAAACCAGAGGAGCAAACGAAGTTCAAATGGAAAGTATGCAGTCTCCTAGGATCCTTAGCAGCTGAGTGTATAAAGACCTCGGAATGGGAGAGAAGCCCATGTCGACATAAGTAAGAGCCAGACACACACACACACACGCGCACTCATGACTTACTCACCTTCTCCTTATAGGTCCCTTGCTCCTTTTCTTTAGCTATTCTTTCTTCTTTTTCTGAAAAAGTAAAACCAAATGTGAGCACAATGGCTTTATCAAATGGAGCATTTTAGAGTAGACACAAAAAGCAATACAAAATAAAGGGCTTTAAAAACCTCAACAATCTTTTGAGCAGATTACCTTCAGAAGGTCAATCTTTTAGTTATCACAGGTGTTTTTCATTTACGTATTGTTTGAATATCGAGCCTAATCTCACAAGGTTCAGTCGTGGGATGAAATTGAAGTAGTTTCACTGTGCCAATTGAGTATTTAAAAAACAAAATCCTTCCTTTCACAGATTTTTTAATCTCTATGGCTGAGCAGTTCCCTAGTTAGACACATGCCTCTGACGTCAAATCGGGTTGTGTTAATAAATGCACAGGGACTAAGCTCTTCTTCTTCTTTTAGCTTACCTTTCTGTTCCTTCAAATACTCCTCATTTTGCTTCATCCACAGTTCTGTCTTCGCCTCCACCTCTATCTCGTTCAGAATGTACTGGAGAAGAGAAAACAGAAGTAATGTTTAGAGGTGATCATTTGTGAATCTGGGATATGCAAGACATCAGACATTTTTGAACTTCTTTAGCAGGGTCATGTGAAGTTTAAAGCTCCATCCTCAGAGTAATGTTATACTGAAAATACTTTTTTCTCTTAATTAGTATTTTTGTCTTGTTTTTCAGTAAGAAAATTATATGATATTTATGCAGGGTAAGATAAAGTGAATACATAAGTTAAACCCATTAATAACATACCTTTTCGATTTCATCTTCATCAATCCCATCTAGATCAAGTTCCCCATTGCCAGATTTATCTTCCACTATAGAAATACAAAGATACATGCATTAATATGAGAAAAATGACAAAAACATGATGAAAATGAGTCTGATGCACGTGACAGTGTTTACAACCAAACAGCATGCACGATATTCAGGTGAGTTTCTATTTCAAAATAAAACTCTAAAAATAAGATTAATAAAAATAAAAATCATCCTGCTTGACTGCAGTCCACAGCTGTCAGAGATGGTACGCTGTACGGGAAAGTACTTTGGTGGTATCATCTGAATAATGCACGCACTGCCAGCTCTTTGTTGTGTAATTGCCATTAATAGGCTTAGCAGTGATGTGAAAGGATTTTGTGTGTAACTTAAATACTTTCCAAATTGTCTTGAAATCCAGAGTGTCAAATTTATTAATCCCTAAATTGAAATCTCATACTGAGTCAAATATGAACAGAAATGCTACTGTATGCTAAAACAATGCCCTCAGTTACACATAAACGTGTATTATAAACACCACCTGAATACAACTAGCATGTGTCTAGTGAGCCGTAAATATACATGATGAAAGAAAGCAATCACAATATAAAGCAACATCTTTGCCTGTAAATGGGAATCTAATGGGTAGTAAAAACATGTGAACTTTGGGAATGCAATAATCAATAGCGTTTACTCATGATGAATCACATATAAACTATCTAAATAACACAAAAGAAACACTCTGATTCTGATTACCACTTTGTATTCAGTTTTGTGTGATCTATCCATGTTAACCTTTACTTACATTTAAAACCCTATAAGCAAGGATAAAACTAAAGCAGAGTGAAACATGCTAAACTTTCTCTGTGACTTATTTTCATTTAACAAAAATGCCTTTTCCAAGTGTGAAGAGCTGCAAAGGCCTGGGAAAAGTATGATTGGATGGTGGAGCCTCAGTGGATCAGGACCAGATGTTCATTAATTGAACAGAGAGATCTGAGCGTCGTCTTTACTGTGGCCATCCAACTCATATTCACACGCTCTGACGTTCTCACAGCAAGACTGGCCAGGGAGAACAGATTTAAATATCTGAACTGAGACAAACGAAAATGGGTCACAATCTGCCCTCATCTCAGATTCGTACACTTGCATGTGTGAGGGTTAAGATGCATCACACAACTTCAAAGGCTGTAGTCTCCAGTATTAGAGATACAAAAGATAAAAAAAAAAGAGATTCTAACTCAAATTTGACTGAAACAGTAATATATAAAAAAATATTTTTTATTCAATACATTATTGTACATTAAACATTACTTTAACAGTAAAATGTTACTAAAATAAAATATTATTGTAAAATGAAAACAAATACTAAAAGCACATGTCAGTAGAATACATATATTAAAATATACCAAATTTTCCAGATCATGTTTAATTATATTCTGTAGTATAATGACAATATAAATTAATGTTGTCTTTATAATTTTTATAATTATATTCTCAAATTGGTCTCTATACATAGCAAATATGCAGCTGCCTTTATATTTCCCAGGTTTACTTTAGTTAAATGGTCGATGTGCTTCATGAATAACAACAAGACATCCAGTTTAATAGCACATTTGAGGTAAATCCATCCTTCCCTTGAACATTGACGTTTGATACCAACAGTAAGGCAAAGATGCATGTCAAAGTATGTGCAACAAAGCTGAGTGCTTCAAATGTGTTGATCAAGAAAATGTGTGTGTGTGTGTGTATAGCTTCGTAAGGTATGATTTTTTTCCTAACTCACAATGTATGTCACATGGTGTCAGTCAAAAGCCGGTCTCTCATTTGGATTGTTTGTAGTTGTTCTTACTGCCTTCTCCAAACTGTCTATTACATCTTCTAACTATCTCCTACTGCCTGCTCCTCTAACACCTGCTTTTCAAGGGGGAGGTGAATTCGAAATCTTTAGCAGGACTATAATTGAATCCAGGTACCACGTCCATAAGACGGAGATAGGATACTTGCTCAGGCATGGGCCAACATGGGCACAATGGTCTATGAGGGAATTGAGCTTGTTTGCAGGCAGCTTGCTTGGGCTGTCACATATCAAACCCAGTGGAGCAAATCACAGCGTTTCACCAGAGCGATTGCACAGCCGGCTTGGATAGAAGGGAGAAAGAAAAACAACATGGCACGATCAGGTTTCTGCTCTTTAGAAGGTTGGCTTGTGGCTGATTGGGGTTGGTTAGATGATGGTAGCCTCTCACAAGGCACTCTGGTTTGGCAGACTGATCTCATGAAATGGCGTATGTATGACACGCCAATTCGTATTTCCATTTCTGGCGTGCTATCAACATGCATAATCGCTTTTAAGCGTGTTTATTAACGCCGTTGACTTAACGTTACATTACTGTATAAATATATGACCTACCCCAAAACCGTCCCTAAACCTACTTAATTCAAAATGAGAAAATTGTAATAATTTAAACTTCCTGTTTTCTATTAAATAGATATGAACTGGCACAACTGTGTGACTTGTGGATTAAAAAAAAAACAAAACAAACATTATTCACTCTCAAAACAAATACCGGTATTACATGATGGTGTTTGTTCATAAGACACATGAGATACAATGAGAGAAAATAACAGGGTTAGCAACAACATACGAAAATAATTGCTGACTATTATTTTTTGTGTAAGCTGTCCCTTTAAATGGATAGTTTACCCCCAAAAGAAAAAAATCTGTCAGTAATTATTCACCTTCATGTTGTTCCAACCCTATAAGACTTTTGTTCATCTTCCGAACACAAATGAAGATATTTTTGATTAAATCTGAGAGCTGGATCACTCCTCCATAAGGTTCTTAAGGGATCTAAACTTGCCGGCCCAGAAAAGTTATTAAATACATTGTTAAAATAGTCAGAGTGACTACAGTGGCTCAATCTTAAATATATCAAAGAAAAAACAAACAAACAAAAATAACAACTTTATAATAAACTTTGATAAACTTAAGATTGAGCCACTGTAGTCACTCTGACTATTTTAAGAATGTATTTAATAAGTTTCTGGGCTGGCAAATTTAGATCCCTTAAGAAGCCTATGAAGGAGTGATCTAGCTCTCAGATTTAATCCAACATATCTTCATTTGTGTTCTGAAGATGAGCGAAAGTCTTACAGGGTTGGAACAACATGAGGGTGAGTAGTTACTGACAGAATTTTCATTTTGGGGAGAACTAACCCTTTAACTATTGGCTTCTTCAAAAACAAATTAAGAATGCAAGACAAGATTAAATGGACATATTACAATATGCTCCAACATATTTCAATGAGAAATTAGCATCTAATCCGAACATGCACTTGAATTGACTGAAACAAATCCAGATTGCATAATGAATCATGTGAATAATTTATGCAAATAAACAGATCTGCTTGACGCTCTGCTTTGAAATGCCCCGGAGAAAAGCCAATTTTGGAGAATGTCTTTACTACAAGCCATTATATTTTAAACTACATCATTTAATCAAATCAATTTCTCCATCAACTGGTGTTATACTTCTCATAATGTCAACAAGAGAAGTCCCTGTTCTGAGGATCCACTGAGATCTACTCTAGCTTCTTTTGCTGAATGCTTGAAAGAGAATCGAAAGAGCTTGTGGTTTGAGAGTGTTTCACGCTCATACAAACAAAAAGGAGGACAAGGTAGAAAAAAAAAAAAAAAAAAACCTCTTGCAATATGGCACGATAACCTCTAAGGGCCTTTTCCAACCTCACCACCTGCTCCCACTGTCTGTGCTATGGGCAAACAGGCCAAGGAGTGAAGAATTTATATGTGTGTGTGTGTGTATTCTTGTCTTCGGGTCAGCTACAGTAGGCAGCTACGCTATTTTTCAGATCAGACTAGCTCTCAGCCTTAACACATTGATATTCGGCACATGCAGTTAACTATAAATGTGGATAGACTACAAAAGAGCCTTTTGCTCTCCGCTATCCCTCAACATGTTTTGATCACGTCAAACACATCCGCTTGAAAGGTTAAATGCTGTATTTGCCTGCAGAAGCTATGCTTTCCCATGCGTCATTCTGTCCTCCTAGACACAGAGTCTCCCGTTTCTCTATCGTTCCCTGAGCTACTGGTCAATCACTCTGAATCAAGCACAGCTGTCTGACTGCATGCAGGCCATTAGATCAATACTTTACACATGCGAGCAGCAACGACATTAACAGCAAAGAGAGGGAGGGACAGCGCTCAGAGCGCACTGGACCATGAGGCAGCATCACCATAGAAGACGAAGCTCAGTGCATAACAGTAAATGCAATGCAGCAATGCAGTATGGGAGGAGTTGCAAGCAGGTGTAATCAATCAGTGTCCCTGCCGCAGGAAACTCATGACATGCCCCCCTCAATACATACAGGAGTAAAATTTCACTTTTTTAACCCTGGAATAGGAGCTTAAACCTGAAAGATTTAGGGTCCGTTCCCACAGGATGTGTTCTTGCATCCGTCTGTGGCGTTTTTAATTGTTTTTCGATGTAACAGACATTTTTTTAAATGTATTTTAGATTTTAGGATACATGTCAGTTTTTTCAGGGACTCATTCAGGGGCTGCATTTTTTGAGTTAAGTTGCTGTGTTGAGTTAAATGAAGATCAAATTCATCACAACATAAAAGTAAAAGTGCAAAGTATGAAAAAGGTATATTCATTTTTAGATTTTCTAAATATAACAATTATTCAATTATTAGGGCCCTATTTTAACATTCTAAATGATGGTCTAAAGTGCAGAGCGCAAGTGCTTTTAGGGCGAGTCTGAATCCACTTTTGCTAGTTTAACGATGGGAAAAAATGGCTGGTGTGCCCAGCACATGGTCTAAAAGGGTTCTCTTAATGAGTAATGGGTGTGTTTTGGGCGTAAAAAAAAAAACACAATCAGAGTCTCATCTCCCATTCCCTTTAAAAGACAGTTGCGCTCGCACCATGGCGGATTGTATGTAATAAGTAAAGTGTACGCACGTTGTAGACCCGCCTATAGGCGCACATTACTAATGCGCTAAATAACAAAATAATGCGCCATTGTCTTTAGAC